GTTCTTGATACACCGTAGGCATTGTCACGGGGTATGCTTGAATCCTCACCTCTATTTTAGTCCCGAGCTTCCCACGAATCAATCGTTCATCTAAGCTCTATTCGAGGAAGACTTCGAGTTGATTTGATATTCCCATTGGAGTGAACCTTTTGAATTAGCCAACACTTGTTTCCCATTTCGTTTTCATCAAAAACACAACTCAAAACATTTTACACTTTATATTTTCACAAAATCATCTTCACACACTTGAACTTTTCTTCCCTGAGGAGACGACTTTGGAATACTTTTCAAGTAAAACACGACATTCAAAAGACTCCTTGCGCTTGGGGAGCACTTTTGTTCACAACATTACACACATTTTGTACATTTCATATTCCACCATTCCGTTGCCCCTTTCCCCCCATCATTTCGAGGGAGAGTGACACTCCCCCATTCCTATAAGCCATACACATTGAGGGATGATGTTAGGAGGCTAGGGAATTCAATGAAAAATATCAAGCAGTGAGTGATAGTTTTTATAGAAAAGTGCAAGAAAGCAAGGTTGGCTAATCCAAAAAGGTCGTTCCAATGGGAGTGCCAAATCAACTCGAGAACTTCCTCTAATGGTGCTCAGATGTTCGATTGATTCACAGGAAGCGTGGGACCAAAATGAAGGTGAGGATTCAAGCATACCCCATGACAAGTCTATGGTGTATCAAAAACTCACAACCACGTCCACACTCAACCTAGTCAAACCGAATCAACGTACACTGCGATGAGGAATGAAATGAGTAGCATACCTAAGGGGAATTTTCCATTGGATTAGCCAACTATAAACTTAGCTACTCATATCTAAAGCTAAGACATAAATGAAATGGAGAGACATAATGAAGAAATGAAGATTGGTACTTAAATTAATGCAAAAAATCTTAAACTATGAAGAAAAATATTCAATACCAAATTTAAAAGCTTGAAATGAAGAAAGCTTAAATACAACAATGGTAGAAACTAAGATACTCAAATAAACTTGCAAAAAACTTGAAATAAATGACATTAAAAGTAATAAATGAAGCTTACAAAAGTCTTGCTGAAGATTACAAGTGAAATGAGTGGAAGAAATGCAAAAAGCTAACTTTTCTATGTAAGAATTCATCTTATTCTTTGAGCTTTCTAAGCTTAGGTAGCCTCCTTCTTTTTCAAAGCTTGTGGAATGCTGAATATATGGTGTAGAGATGATGCATTTTCATCCATGAGGCTCCCCTAGCCTGTGTGCAGGCCTCCCATTAATGGAAGGTGAGTTAATTGGCTTTGGACAGGCTAGGACAAGCCTAGCTTGCAACCCACCATGCCTCCTCCTTCTCGCTCTTCATTTCACATCCTCCATCCTCCAAAGTCAGCAACTAAAGTGTAGGAGGCATGTATATATGTAGAATATGTCAGAGGGCAAGTGGGAGAATCATAGGTGGGACCCCCAAGCAAGTGAAGCAAGAGTTGCAGGCGTTCTAGGCAAAACCTAGATACCAGTAGGTTTTCGTCGTTCTATCGGTAGGTTGCCAACTCCGGACCAATTTTCGTAGAATTTTCATAACTTTTGATCCAACCATCCGATTGAGCTAACATTTTGACACAATACAGATGACATCCATATATACAACTTTCATGCTTTGAACATTTTCAGATTTAAGTGGATCATGGTAAAAAAGGAGGAAAATCGAGTTACTATAACCAAATGATGCGGGTGCCGATGCCTATGTTACCAAGCATCGATACCTCCTTGATTTATTTCATTTTTAAGCCTCCAAATCCTCATGTAATGTGTCCATTTCTTCACCACTCATCCACACTTAGTTGCAAGGTTCCAAAATCTATCATTTACCCTATAATTACCTACAACATCAAGACTTCAACATTATCCTTAAACTTGACTAACTCTAACTAATTATATGCAAAGTCGAGTTAAAATGCAAGTAATGAGCCATTAAATATGCAATATTATATCCTCATCAATGGTATCTCGTGCGTAGAACTATCTTGGATAGACCCGTGCCCCTCTTAGTTGGTCAAAAAGATCATTGATTCTGGGTAGTGGGTACCTATTCTTGATAGTGACTTGATTAAATTGCCGATAGTCTATACAAAGTCTAAGGGTCTTTTCCTTCTTCTTGGCAAATAGCACCAGAGCACCCCCAAGGTAAGTACTCAGCCTAATGAAACCATTGTCCAACAATTCTTGCAACTACACTATGAATTCTTGCAACTTGGCAGGTGCCATCATATACGGTGTCATAGAGATAGGGATGCACCGAGTTGTAACTCAATGGTGAAGTTTACATCCCAATGTGGAGGAAATCCTGACAACTCATCAAGAAAAACATTCGCATACTCAAAAATTACTTGAGGTAGACCTAACTCCTGTCTCGCTCGTCCTCTAGTGTAAGGATAACAAGCCAACCTATTAATTTTTTTGTGCCAACAGGAGTCTTATACGACTTGGGGTAAAGTATTGTGTTTTTCTCTCTGAAATTTTAAATAGACACCCTTTCGTGTGTAGGCAGTAACCCTCTTCTGATCACAATCGATGACAACTCAGTGTACCGTCAACCAATCCATCTCAAGTGGCTTGGCTGGTGACATATGAAGCAAGTCCTCTGGTTGGCCTAATAGGTGGCCTTGAAATTTTTTCCATCTTGGGAGGATTGACCTTGGCCTTGGCCTTGATAGCCTCAACCCTGCCCTTGATACTTGATGAGTATAGAATATTGCATATCATGCATCTCCTTTGCAACTATATTACTTGTTTTGTTGTGAAAATTGGGGAAAATGATTTAAAATTCATAACTAATGGAGATTTGTGTGATTATACGTAAAGAGCAGGTAAGGTCATGTATAAAGCATCCCATAAAGTGATTAAAGGCAATAGGGAAGAAGGGATTGCTTAAGAGATGGTTTGGGACCTCAAGGAACCAAGGAAATCCCAGAGAATGACAAAACCTATAGGTAGAAGGCAACCAAGTCCTATCGGTAGAAGTTATTTAAAATCTACTAAAAGAAAATGCTACTGGAATTCTTCTAACTTAGCCATGCAAAAACCTACCGGTATAAAATCTTACTAGAAAAAACCTACCAGTAGGTTTTCTTACGTTCTACTAGTAGGTTTTGTCTAGTTTTTCCAGACCCCTGCTCACACGACTCCACCTACTCTAGGGGCCCACCTCTTGTCCTCTATGTCATACCCTGACATGTTTGACACCCCATGATGCTCTCCTAATCCCTAAAGTTAGATTTGAAGTAAGAGAGAGGGAAGAAGCAAGAGAGAGAAGAAGGGTGTCTGGTGAAGCATGGGAAGACCATGCTTGGACTAAACTTGCTTGTGGAAGTGTCCAACCTCTCCCCAATCATTCCAATCTAGTTCACACAAGCTAAGGGAGAGTGTATGGACAAAAATAGGGAGTCTTACACCATTATTCAAAATTTACATGCTTTTAGAGAGAGAAACTTCAAGGTTGAAGATGAAGTTTTAGAGAGATAGAGTTGGGTTTTTACATTTTGTTCACCATTTTCATTATAGCAAGCTTTATTTTACTTGTAACCTTTCCCGCTTTCACTCTAAATTTTGTTATTTAAGTTGTAATCAAGATTAGTTAAGTATTCTTGTATTTCCATTTCTACATTTGGGTATTTTATCTTCAATCTTTGTTGATGAGCCCAGATTTTACTGGATCAGACCCAATTAATTAAGTAAGCCTAAATTAGCTACAAGGCAGAGCAAGCCCAGATCGTGGATTCGGCCCAGTCCAAAGTTCAAGGAGTCCAAGAAGATTAATGCACGTGGGGAGCAGTCATCGGGATAATCACTCTCCAAGATCAAGACTATCTTTACTTATACCTATCCTAGTTATAACTATCCTCCCCGAAAAGCTAGTCTCCTATCACGTCACACCACCACCTTAACCAAGGTTCTGTGCCTATAAATTGTAAGTTCACTCTACATGAGAGGGAGATCTCTCTACACACCTTACAAAACTATCTCTCTTATAGCTACCAAGAGCATACTCTTGTTCTCCCTCTCTCTCTCACCTACTACTTCATCAATAAAGACTACCGGCCATTGTTGCCGTCTTCAAAGTCGAGTAGGTTATCCTAACCGAACTACTCTATATTTGTGTTGCTTGTGTGGATCTCACCTTTGTTTTTACTGCATTCATTACCTATATTAATTACTTGATAGGTGGTGCATAAATCTATTTTTGTTCATCATCTGTTTGACACTGTCTGTGGGAAGCGATTTGATTCTCTCCTAATAGTCTTCCTACCTCCAATGGCAAGAACAATTAGATCCATGAACCCCCAACCAGAAGATGACCCGCCACTTCGTGACGAGGTCCTGCCACCATTGGCAAAAAGTAAACACATGCAAAAACTCAAATTCTATGAGAAAGAACCATTTTTGGAGAAATTTGGTGCCCAAACCACCTTTTACAGTTTGAAGGTCATAGATCTCGAAAAAAATACCCAAATTCAAAAAATATTTGCCTCAAACAGACAACTAAGTACAAAATTATGGTTGTTAGAAGTTTCGACGTTTCTTCATCATTGTCTTATACTTTACCTTGCATCTCATCGTTAGCGGTAATAGTAGCAACGAGTGCTAGTCCCTCCTAGCGTCGCCCAGACGCTGCTCCAAGGCGTCACCTAGACCACTAAGGGTGTCACCCATATCCTTCTAATACCCCAAGCAGTAGTGCCAGCGCCCCACTGCACACCTACCAAAGGCATTGCCCATTGTTCCCTGTGCGAAGGCGTAGCCTAGGCTGGCATCCCCAAGCCAGCGTCGCCCAGGCAGGCACCCCTAAGCTTGCTACACAAGGGAGTCACCTACCTTACTCCTAGCATCCTCGACCATGTAACCAAAGCCTAACACGTCGCCCAGGCCACCTAGAGTTGCTCAGGCCTCATTGGCATCACCCATACAATCATGGCATCACCCAGCACCTTAGCACTAGTAGCGACAGTGCCTGGCCATGGGAGTCTCCAAGCTGGCCACTAGCGTCACCTACTATTGTGTTACCCAGCTTGTCAATGGCATTGGCTCCTGCTCCTAAAGCATTTCCTAGCTGGCCACTAGCGCCGGCTCCTGTTCCAAGGGCTTTGCCCACATCCTAGGCTCCCGCGTCTATGGTGCCATCACCCCTGGTAGTGGCCTGGTGTCACCCCTGGTAGTAGCCTGGCTTCGCTTCTGCACCTACAAGGCATCGCCCAACCTGGCACCACTCTACGCCTGCATGGCTTGGCCAATGTACCTTGCTTGGCACCCTCCTACCTCGCACTCACCTCCCTCACCTGGCGTCTCCATCTCGGAGTCACCCAGACTGCCTGCTCAACTGGCCCATTGCGTTGGTGTCACCTCCTACTCCAAGGGCATCTATCATGGATTCCCTAAGTGATCCTCTCTAAGTAGAATTTGAGTAATTATGGGTCATGCATTTTTTCCTAGCGCATGGCACTCATACCCGCAAATGCCTGGCACCCGGATCTAGTAGTGCCCAACGGTGCCCGTGCCCAGCTTATGAGCTCTCTCTTTTATGGCAGAGATCTGTCCACACCAAAGAAGTGAATCATAGTGGATCAAAGTCCTCCTTCTCCTTCCAATTAGTGAGATTCTATCACTTATTGGGGAAATTGTGATCGACCCCAAATACACCTTCCTCGAAATTGAGACTTTTCTGATATTCCACTGACTAGCTTTCTCGCGAGCTCTTTTTTCTTGGGAACTATGGGACTATGGAAAATGAGCTCTGCTAGCAGAGCCAAGGCATAGCCATGCTTCCGACGTCACCTGCCCGTGCCCGGCGCCCACTCGCAAAGAATTTACTCGGGACATAGCGCCCTATTAAAACTCTACTCCAAGTATCAAAGGATTGTTGATAAACAATGCCCTTGGTGAGCACATCTCATCCTACAATCTAGGACGCAACATCCTAATACGACTCTACCTCAAATGTCTAGGGGATTGGTGATAAGGTGTATCCTATCAAAACTTGGAATTTGAGTCCATATGGAATACCGCTTCCTATATTATTATAAATAAAGGTTTCAAGTACCAAGTTTATCAAGAATTCCCCGCCATCGTCTTTGTTCTATAAGATCTGGCTGTTTAAAGATTTGGCTTTGCATGGATTGCAGTTTTGAACTGATTCTAATCCTTAAGCTAATTGGAATCCTTGAATTCTACTAGGGAAGGCCCAACGACACTTGTGCCTCAGCGCCTAGCAATGCTCTCATGTAAGCACCCTAAATCTCTAGCTTCATGCTCTCTCTTGAATCACCAAAAGCTTGGCCTAACTCTACATCTGCTCTCAGGTAGGTACAATCTCCAGCTTAGCACTTTTTTCACTAGTCGCCAGAAAGCTTGGCCTAACTCTGTATCTGCTCTCAGGCAGGCAGTTTTAATCTCCAACTTAGCACCTCTCTCACAAGTCGCCAGAAAACTCGGCCTAACTTTGCCTCTACCTCTTCTCTCATGTAGACATCCTAAATCTCTAGCTTAGCGTCTCTCTCACGATTCACCACAATCTCGACTTAACTCAGTCTCTACTCTGAAGCAGACTATGTCTCTAACTTAGTGGCTCTCACGAGAGTTACCATAATCTTGACCTAACTCTGCATCTGTTCTCAAGCAGACTATGTCTCCAACTTAGCAGCTCTCACGAGAGTTGTCAAAAGCTCGACTTAATTCTTCCTCTATTCTCAGGCAAGCAACCTTAATCTCCAGCTTAGTGGGTCTCTCACGAATTACCAAAAACTTGGCCTAATCCTATCTCTGCTTTGAAGTAGCCTTGGTCTCCTAGAAGCTCATCCTAACTCAGCCTATGCTTACACGCAAATAGCTTCATTCTCTAGAAGCTAGGTCTCAAGAGCTATTGCTCTCTCATGAGCCAACCTTAACTATAGCCCGGTGCCCAAACATATAGTCAAAAGTTCTTAACACCTCATTGAGTTTAAGTATCCTCAAAAGTATGAAAATTCGTAGCCAACTATAAATATCTGAAAGCTAGAATGTCAGTATGACCAAGAATACAGAAGTTAGGGTTCCACATAACAGAGGGGTACCATAGCAAAGCCCTCTATCGTGGTATCGATGATACCCTCTAGTTCTTAAGAGCTGATCTTTTTAATATCCAAGGGTGTCACAAACCTCCAAAACCTTTCCTTAGCCAAAATTCACATCCTGCAGCATGGACACCATGCCATTGCTAGAGGCATCAAGCCCCATTTTTCAAGAAATAGCAGGGCCGTTAGACCTCAGTTGGGAGACACTAGGGGCATTAAATCACATCCCTTCCAGGAGGAGGGGAAGTCAGCATCCTAGTGACATAGAGAGCCTTCTTCATTGATCCATCAACCATAGGATCACATGTGAAAGAGAGAATTTTCATAAACCAAAGACATCATCACTTTTCCTAGGTCCTTCATGGTGTTGCCTGTGGCACCGGCCAACCTTGTGCCTTCCCTGGTGTTGCCTAGATTCATCTCCATGGCACCACTCGCCAAAGCATCTCCATCTCCACGCGCTGAAGCATCCATGCTTCTTTTCATCCTTTCTACAACAATGGCGTTACCAGAGAAATAAGCTTCAAAAATGCAATGGAGTGGAAAGCTGAAGAAGCCATCGTGTGGAACATGATATTTGTTCTACCCAAAGGAAGGAGCTCACTCATGCCCTCAACCCCCAGATTTTATTGGGCTAGGCCTAATTAATTAAGGAAGCTCAAATTAGCTACATTGCAGGCCAAGCCCTGCTTGTGGATTCGGCCTATTCCAAGGTTCAAGAAGCCCAAGAAGATTAATGCATGTGGGGAGCAGTCGTCGGGATAGACACTCTCCAAGATCAAGACTATCTCTAATTATACCTATCCTAGTTGTAACTACCCTCCCCAAAAAGCTAGTATCCTATCACGTCACACCACCGCCTCAATCAAGGCTCTCTGCCAATAAATTGTAAGCTCTCTTTACATGGGAGGGGCATCTCTCTACACACCTTACACAACTATCTCTCTCATAACTACCAGGAGCATACCCTTGCTCTCTCTGTCTCACACCTACTACTTCATCAATAAAGACCACTGGCCACCATTGTCATCTTCAAAGTGGAGTAGGTCACCCTAACCGAACCACTTTATATTTGTGTTGCTTATGTTGATCTCACCTTTGTACTTAATGCATTCATTACCTATATTAATTACTCGACAGATGGTGTATACATTCACTATTGTGCATCATCATTTGTATTTTGGGTATGAAAGAAATTGTGCTTGTAGTTTAAACCTTTTCTTGCATTAATACAAGTTTCATGTTTCATTTCACTACCATGTATATTTACCTTATGTTGGTTCTTGCTTTTACTATGAGTAGCTAGACTTTTAGTTGGTTATTTCAAGGGGAATTTCCTTTTGGGTGTGCGAAATCGACTCTCTTTCAGTCTTCCTCATAGTGTAAAGTGTTTGGTTTGACTAGATAGAGTGCAGACGTGGTTGTGGGCTCTTGATATATCGTAGACTTGTCATAGGGTATGCTTTTGTCTAACATAACCACATTAGTCCCTCACTTCCCATGAATCAATCAAACATCGAGACACCATTGGTTGAATGAATTGAGTCGATTTGGCATTCTCATTTGAATGACCTCTATGGATTAGCCAACCTTACTTTCATGTATTTTCACTAAAACACAACTCACCAAAACTCAATTCACAAGATTTTTTGATTTTTATTTCTTTACAAATCACCCTTCACAAACATTTGAATTTTCCTTCCCAAAGAAGATGAATTTGGAATACCCATTCCAAGTAAAATACGACATTACAAGTCTTTCTACACTTGGGGCGCACTTTTGCACACACACACACACATATTTTTGTTCACACACGATTTTTTTTCCAGTTTTTGTATTTGAACCTGAGGGAGAGTGACACTCACCAACTTGTATAAGCCATGTAAACAAAATTCGGGCTCATGTTTGGAGATTAGGAAAAATGATGAAACATTTTTGGTGCCGTTACTGGGGAAGGCTAAGCCTTCAAATGTGATTTGGGGACAATGGAGGCCAGTCCCATGATTCTCATCACGGGTCGAGGTACATTGCTCCTTTGTACATATTTGTGTAAACCTTTTTTTATTGTTAGTAGTGTTTTTGTATGTGGGGACGTGCCCTGGGACCAAATAAGAATATAAACCAAGACCCACTCGAGGATGTTGGAGACAATTTTAGGGATGATGGCGCCAATAATCCGAGGGTGCGGGGGGAATGCAAAACCCCTTAGTGCCAAAACCCTGAATGGAATTCTCCCTCCGATAAATGAAGGAAATAATCTCCCAATTGATCCTCTGGCAAGGTCAATGAGGGATTATCTCCAACCAACTTGAAGCACCACCCCTTCATGCATACTTCTACACATGCAAGTGCATGGTTTCCTTGTTAAACTTGGCATGTTGTAATTTCTTCCTCAATTCCATGAAGTGGAATGAGAAAATCCTTGCCCACATATTAAGGAATTTGAGGAAATTGTTGGAACATTCATTAAAATAATGCCATGGAAGACATGACACGCATGAAATTATTTCCCTTCTCCCTCAAAGACAAAGCTAAAACTTGGTAGTCAACCAAGTGGAGGGGGAATGTATAACTTGCGTGACCTAGAAGACTTGCTTGCTAGAATAGCCAAATTGTCCCGCAAGGTGGAGAGTCTAGAGGTGAATAAGAGGCATGAAGTGTTAAATATCACAAAGGCCAATGAGTCTTGCTTTATATGTGAGAGTGTTGAGCACTCTATTTCAGAATGCCCAAAAATTTTGGCACTCAAAAAGGTATACCATAAGCAAGTGAATGCTTTTAACCAAAGTGGGCAATCATTCTCTCTACAATTTAACAGATACAACCCGGGATGGAGCAACCACCTGAACTTTAGTTAGAAGAATGACAACCCTATTCCTCATGGGTTTACCTCATTGTCACATCCCATTCTGCCCAAGCAAAAAAAATCATACTATAATCATGGTCTGTCATCTATCTCTCAATACCCATGGTCTAATCCACAAGGATTTTCACAAAACCCACCTCAACACGGGTTTGGACAACAAGGACCACCCAACCCGCCCACCTACCAACCTCCTCACAAGAGAAATTTGGAGGATGTTGTGCATCAATTCATCCAAAATCAAACCACAATCAACAATCAAATCGCCACTTCTTTTAATGACATCCAAACTCAAATCACTAAGTTGACCAATGCTATAGGGTCATCCCAACAAGAGAAATGGAAATTTCTAGCTCAACCCTAAGAAAACCCAAGGGGTCAACATATTATTGAATCTCCCGAGGCTACCAAAGAGAATTAAGTAACTCAAGGCGATCACCACCCTTAGGAGTGGTAAGGAAATAGATAAAA